AATTCAGGTAGTGCTGGACTTGTGTTCTCCAGGAGTGTTTTGTAATTGCAAAGTCTGATCCATTTGCTGCTGAGATTTGTGAAATATGTCCCATTAACAGAGTGTATTTTAAGCCGTTTCACACCTCTGCCACTCCAGCAAATGATGCTGAATAATGCTGGGGAGAAGGAGCTGTGATAATTTAATGAAGTGTCCACAGATGGCTGGACTTATTAATTTTTTAACAGGGTTGGGGTGAGAAGCTGATGCACTAACAAAATATGCGGCATCTTTGTGATCCGCCGCGTTGCTGAGGGATAACAGATGTTGGAGCCATCCTAACAATAGGGAATCGTGTTTCTGTTCTCTTGTGTGCCTGAAATCTTCACACTTCCCCAGAGGCTGTTTGGATAAAGGAGTAATAGCTCTGGATTTGTCATGAGCTCAGATTTGTTTAGGCTGACAGGAATGGGGAGAAATTAAAGTGCCTTAAAACTGTGAGTGGTTTGGGGGATCACTGACAGACCGGTTTAACTTGGAGGGTTGAGGTGGGAACTGGAGGGTGGCAGTGTTGGGAGATGTGCTGCTGGAGTTAGATCAGACTGGGGTGAATGATGAGAAAAGTGTGAGAGTAATGCTGGACATCAGAGGATTTTCCCAGCTGGTGTACAGGAGGAAAGGGGTTTGGAAAGCCTGTCGGCTGTTCCCGTGCTTTGCTTTTTCCACAGTACATTAGAAATATCCAGGGGAATAACAGGGAAAACGTTTGCTGAGCACATTGAGATGTCATCAGAAAAGCCTGAAACCAGCTTTGGGAAGCAATTCATTGCCAAACAGGTAGTGGGTGTGAGTTTAGAGCTGTTTAATGCTTATACAAAGTGTTCTCTTAAATTCCAGTCTATGCAGGAGCAGTAGAGGAGACCCACATGACGAGAAGCCTTGTGACCACGTAGGAAAGGTCCACAGAGAGAAGGGGATTCCTCTGCAGCCTTCTGTTCCCTAAGGATGAGGAGAATGTGCTCTGTTCTTGTTCTCTTTAGCAGTGCTGGTTTGGCAGGATTGATCCCAAAAGGTTGGCTGGGTCTCAAGGAGCTCAAATGTGTGTATGGCATCAGCATCCATGTTAAATAACGTGAAGCATTTCTAGTGGCTGCTGACAGGATTTAGAGGGAAGGCAGGACTCAGAACTTGGTTACAGCACTCATGTGAGCGAGTTATTTAGTAGTTGTTGATTGTGGAAGGTTTTCTTCTTTCAGTCTCCTTGGAAGTGATTGGCACTGGCCACAGTGGCAGAGAGGTCTGGATTGGCATCAGGGCAGTGCATTCCTCCACTTGTGCAAACTGCAGGAGATGAAATACTGGCTCCATTGACGGCAGCAGACGACAGCCAGAATTTTAACCATCTGTGTTGTCCAGGAGCATGGGAATTATTGCTCTTCTAGGCACATCTTTTTCAGAAATGGAGACAATGGGCCACAAATCTCAGTAAGGCTTAGACTGGGAATGCTGATTGAATGCACCACATTTGCATTAATAGATTGTTCATTCGCATTCCTGCCATTGCTCTGGGCTTTGATGAGAGGAGGGGAGAGACAAAAGGAAAGGAGAAAATAGGGACAGAGTTGGCTTTCCCCCCATCCCTCCCATTTGCATTGTCCTGGTAGAAAATGTGGAGTTTGGGATGCATCTCATTCCCTTGAACGCTGGGAGAGTTGCACTGTTGCTTATGTGTTGTCCTGCCTGTGTTTAGGGAACATTCCAAGAGGAAAATCATCCCTCCTCAATTGAGTTTATTAACCTGTGTTCTGCCAGGTCAGTAGCATTTTCCTTTGGTGCCCTGAAATCAATACATAATGTATGTGAGGTGACACAGAATGATTAATGTGTGTACAAACACCAAAAATTGTCTTTAATATCAGAACCCCAAAGTGTCATTTATCATTGCGTTCATTTGCCAAAAGATGGGATGATGCCTTCAGCTGATTGCCCTGCAGTGTGTGGGTGAGGAGTGGGGGCTGTTCCCTCATCAGGAATGTACCTTCCATCCCTGGAAGTGTCCAAGGCCAGGTTGGATGGGTTGTGGATCAACCTGGCTTAGTGGAAGGTGTCCCTGTCCGTGGCAGGGGGTGGGACTGGATGAGCTTTAAGGTCCCTCCCAACCCAAACCCTTCTGGGATTCTGTCATTACATCTTCTTGCTTAATCTTGTTGGTTGAAGTGTTTGGGAAATACAAGCCATTGAGGAAAAAAGGCACCAACTTTTTAAAAAGTTGTTTTTTGCAATAGTTTTGAATTTGTTTCTAGTGTAAACTGAAAGACTGAATTAGTTTGCATGGTAATGCAGCCAGAAAAGATGATAGGAAGTTATGGAAATTCAGGCTTAGAAGTTGTTAATTGATATTTTAAGAGGAAAAGAGCAGCTCTGTAATGGAAAGGCCCTGGACTGGGAGATGGAAGGGTGTTTTCTGGTTGTGTTCTGCTGCAGGAGGTGTGCCAGCACTGTGCCACACACTCTGGGACCTGCTACTGTATTTATAAACAGGTTTGTGAATTAATAGTAATTAAGGCCTGTATTTGGAGTGCCTTTTGTAATCCATCATTATTGTTTTGTGGTTGTGTGTTGGCTAAAGCAAAGGCTCCTCCTCCACAGTGGAGGCTTTTAAGCAGTGCAAATTGCCAATAATTGTAGAATAAGAGAAAATTACTCTTTAGGACAAAATTATAGCCTAGGTTAAAATGTTTTTTTTTTTTTTTTTAAAAAAACACACAGGACTATAATGAAATAAAGGTTTTAGTGGCGTTTGAGATGACCTGGAAAATGAACTGTAATTTCATTGCTAGTGAGTAATGAAACCGTCTCAAATAAAGCTTATTCAGCCTCAATGGAGCACCTGCACACAACAGAGTGCACAAAGCCTGTCTTGTCCAGGAAGGGAATAGTACTTGTGGGAGGGTTAAATTAAGGCATCTTTGAGCTTTCTGTTACAAAATTGCAGGGCTTGAATCCTCCAGGAACATCCTCACTTGTACTTTTAGTTGCCACTGTGGCCATTGTACAAGTGGTGGTTTGTGGAACAAAGAAGGGAGGTGAACAAAGGAGGAGATCCAGGACCCCTTCCAGGCTGGGAGAGGAATTGCCTTAACGTGCAGGTCTCTTGATGAAGGATAATATTGAGATAGATAAGAATTGGAGGTAATTATGACATTTCATGGGTTCTGTTGAGAAGGAAATTTTCAGAGAGGAGAGATGCCTCAGAGAGCAGGTTTAGAAGACCCTGGTTAACAGCCTGATCAGCTTGTAGCTGTAAAACAACGTATTTACCTGCAGAGTGAGCAGGTGTGGCACAGGCAGGAGACGCTGGTACTGTTGCTGTGGCCTCAAGGGTCTCACAGGAGGAGTTAAATAATGCTCCAGACTGACTAATGGTGCAACTTCTTAGCACAGTGTGCAAAGTCAGGCAGGTCCAGGGATATCCTTGGGATTGTGCTGGGCTGGGACAGAGGGATGGGGGATTTATGAGGAAAGAAGGTGAGTTGGTGGGTTCTGGGGTTCGTTGTAAGCTGACAGTGTGCAGAGAGCCACTGAGATGGTTCAGTGTTTTGGGAAGATCTTTTCAGTTTTGTCATATTTCCGTGGATGTTTGTTACCATCATGTCATTCTGCCAGGGGGGCACGGTGGGAGAGGAGGGCATATGGAAGCAAAAGAGGTTCTGACTGGATTTAGGAGGAAGTTCTACACCGTGAGGATGCTCATGTGGTAGAACAGGTTGTCCAAGAGTTGTGCAGTCTCCATCCGTGAGGATGTTTAGGATCTGACTGGACAAATCCCTGAGTAACCTTCTCACCTTGCAGCTGACTCTGCTCTGGCTGGGCCCCTTCCTGCCCAGATTGTCCTGCCATTCCGTGTCTCTAAAGGTGCACAGGACGTTGGGGAATGAGGGGAAGGAACTGAGGATTGCAGCTTCATTAAGCAGGAGGAAAGTTAAAAGAAAGAAGTTGTGATTTTTATTCCTATGAATACCTTAGAGGGAGGAAGTAATGGATAAATATCAAAAGATGCAAAATAATTAGTACCAAAACAAGGTCAAGATCAAAGGACCAGAAGTAGGTTTGAAATACAGTGGGAGGGGAAAGTAGAAACAAAGTTTTTCAGAGGAACGAAACTGTGGAAGGAGCCTTCAGGTATTACTCTGAGCGGGGAAAAAGTCTGTAACAGTTGGAGATGAGCCTGTGCAAGTAAACAGGTCTTTCATTCAAGTGAGAGAAGTCTGAATGTGTGACATCAGATGGTGCTTCTTGCTGCTTCTCCAAAGATTTCTACAGAAACTGGAGAGCAGAGACTGGACGGTTAAAAAAAATCACAGAAACTGTCGTGGTCGAGGCGGGAGGCAGCATGGGTTTCAGGATACCAGGCTTTCTTATTGCAACAGTACAGCTACCTTTATACAGTCCTGGGTGACACATGTACACACAGCATTGGTTTACAACTATCATAGCAACTCTTGATTGGACATACAGCCACATGTCCCAACACAATAGGTGAACCTCCAACAGGAAACTCACTCTGTGTTACAGTCCCCACTGTCCGTGGTTAACCCTCTGCCAGGTATAAGAAGTTCCATCTTCGATATCTCAGTTTACAGAGAGCCCAGAACCAGCTGAGCTCCCCCCACAAGAAACCCTGAGGGATTTTTGGAAAGCAAATAAGGATGCAAGCTGGAAATGATAGAAAGTACCATTTAACTTTAGAAGTACACGTGTTAGATACTGTGTTAGGCCATCAAAGGTAGTGAATATGGACAGGGAGGACTAGAGGAGATGGAGTTTTGGCACCAGGGTGTCACTGAGAAGCAGCACATGGTGACAGACTGTAGTAGGAAGCTCGAGAATTGGAGAACTCAAGAGTTGGAGAGCAGCTTAACTTTTTAAAAACTCCATTCACCAATCTTGACTGCAACTCCAGAGCTTTGGTGTCGCCTCCTGAGTGCCTCTAACCTGTCACTCTTCCAATTCTTTTGCAGGTCTTCCCCGGTTCACGAGCCAGCCCGAGCCCACGGTGGTGCCGCGAGGCAGCAGTGCGGTGCTGAGCTGCGAGGCCAACGCCGACCTGGCTCCGTTCGTGCGCTGGGAGCAGGACCGGCAGCCAGTGCCGCTGGACCAGCGGGTGCTGCAGTTGCCCAGCGGGGCCCTGGTGATCAGCAACGCCTCCGACAGTGACCAAGGGCTGTACCGCTGCCTCCTCGAGGGCTCCGCCGCCCCCAAGTACAGCGACGAGGCCGAGCTCCGAGTGCTGCCAGGTACTCGGGGGCTCGCTGGGACACGGGGCTGCTCACGTATCTGCGGGGTCTGAGCTCTTCTCAGAGGTTGGAGATGGGCTGGAGACACTCCTGTGCCTTCTTGCCACATTGAATGGTTCAGCTTTTAAGGCGTTCTAGGAAAAGACTTGTTTTCTGAAGTCCCTGTTTCCAAAAGTCCCGCACTTGCTTCCATTGTGACGTGATGCAAAGAGGGAATCTGCTGTTTCCTTGAGTGTAAACGTTTGGGGATTTCTGAGTTTTCAGGTTGAACCCCAGGTTTCAACTCCTGCTGAATTTTCCCCAAAGAATTGGTGCTTAGTCCCTCACTCTTGGGATGCTTCTGCTGGGGGGCTTGTAACTGTCCCAATATTCAGGAAATTCCCATTGTCTTAACAGTGGGCGCTTTTGGGAATTCTCCAACTCCCAAAAAGAAGATGACTTCATTTTGGAAGGTTTAACAATGCCTATTGTGCTGAAATGTTGGGATATTTTTTTTTATAAGAACAGAAGTCCAGCGCTGATGACAAGTGTTGGTACATTTAGTGTGTTCTGTTCCCAGTGACTGTTGCACAGAGCTGTGTCACCAGCTCTTCAACACAAAGGTTTGAAAAGTCACCAGGAGTTTCCAGAGCTGTCTCCTCTGAATTCATCTTCATGTTGGAATTCTGATTCAGTTGTTCCTTCCTGGAGAACTGCCAGAGGAGCTGCTGAATTCCATCCTGGAGGCCTCCAGGGTTAGGCTGGGCAGTTTCGTGGTTGACCTGACCTGGTGTGGGCAACAGGTGGTGGCACCTTCAGGGATCCCTTCCAATGAACAGTTCTGTTTCTTGTGACTATGGCACTTTGCTTCCCAAAAGGCTAAAATATCCTTTAGAATACCCCAGTTTTCCAGTTGCAGCTCTCTGTTGAAATCGGGGGTTTTTCCAGGTTTGGGAAGGAATCATGGCTAAAGTAGGAATTTGTTTCATTGAGTTCATGAGGCCTTTCCAAAGCAAAGCCTTTTCTCCTTCAGCTCAGGATACAGGTTTTGAAGAACAGCACTTTGGGAAAAGGCACTTAATTGAATTATTGTAGCTTGGATTGCCTTTGTGTTTCTGCAGCCCTTCAAATGCTCCAGACTTCTCTGATTTTTTGGCAATTGGAGATTTCTTGATAAACTTCCATGTTGCATTGATCTTTTGGATTCTTTTGGCTCCAGATATGGTTTACTTGCTTTTGTAATGCTTTGCTGAAGGTGATTAAATAAAATTCTGTTAGGGAATACAAATGATGCTGTTTCTTTGCTTGGTCATGAATCTGAAAGTATCAATAGCGAAGTTTTGTGAAATCCCTCCCAGCAGGCTTTTTCTAAAAAGTGGGATTAAGCTGTTGAAGGGAAAGCTCCCTTAATCTTGAGTGGTCCCGTAATTGATTGTTTGGTCTGAGATGTATTTGAAAGAAGGATTTAAATTAATCTGTTCTTTATTCAGTTTATTCCCTTTTTAAATTGTTATCTGATGTGTGCCTGACAGTGACCCCACTGCTCTGCTTCCCAGTCTTTGAAATGCACCCAACACGCACTTGGATTTACATCCATGGACAGTGTTCTGCTTCTTAAGTGTTCTACTTTTTCTGATACCAGGCTGCCACTGAGCAGGAGGGTACATTTCTGAGCTCTACTAGTTAGTAGCAGGTCCTTTCAAACATAGAAATACAAGGAGCTAAAAAAAAGCCACTTGATTTTTGGGTGCAGTTTCCACTCAGCTGGGAGCTGAAGTCTGTTCTGGGAGCCTGGAACAATGATGGGTTGTGTCTGTGGTGAATGTTCCCAGCTCCTCTGCTCCTGTAAGGATTGGTGTATCCGTTTTCTTGGAGCAGGCAGAGCAGTTTCTGCTCACAGGGAATGTGGGCAGAGCCGTGGGATGGTTCCTGTGTGAGCCCCACACAGATGGTGGGATCCAGGACTGCTCAAAGCTTGTCTGCCCCTGCCTCGGATGGCTCTGAAATGGAATTTCCACCCGTTCTGTTCCTCAAATCCCTGGCAGCCTCCCCTGGCTGTACCTTGGAGCACGTGTGTGCCCTGAGCTCAGGGCTGTGAACACTCCTGTGCTATTTTTAGTATTTGGAGCTGAAGAGCAGCAAAACAACAACTCTCAGAAATAACTGCGAGTATCACGTCGGGCCCGAGTGAGACACAGCCACATCTGAGTGTGGTGAGACACAGAAGGTGCTTCAGAAGTAGAGGAGGTGCAGAAGAGTCTGCTCCTATTTAGGTGGCTGAAAATAGTTTGAGGGCTTATCTAGTTCTGGAGCTTTGCTGTCATCACACCTACAAACACACATTGAGTACTGAGAGTGCAGCAATGAGTGCAGCGTGAACAGTGGGAGTAACTCACACAGTGGGAGTAACTAACTCAGCCCAAAGCTGTGTCTCGTGTGTACAGATCGTTTTCTTTGGTTCAGGGCAGACAGAGAGGGTACAAACTGTAGTAACACACTGAGTAAATGTGCACTTGGCTTGTGCTTGTTCTTAAGGTGGAGGAAAAATAGAAACAAATCCCTCTCCATCCCAATTCAGTGCAAAACTAATTCAGAGGATTCCCGTTTTCGTAAGGATGGAAAAATGGTGGGATGTAAAGCTTGTGCTACTTCTGTGTACATCACTTGGTTGTTTTGTTCCACTTAGGATGACTTTCTGCTGCAATAATTTCATTTTCCAGCATGTAAAAGCACTTTCTCAGTAGCTCCCTGATGGAGCCAGGGGATTGCTCAGGGCTAGCTGGACAAACCCAAACCTAAACCTTTCTTCACTAAATCTCTACCAGCTGGTGGAAGCTCCAGTTTCAGGGCTGTAGCTTTGAGCTGAAACAGTTTCCCAGGGAGTTGGAAGAGTGAGAATCCCAAAGGTGGGGATGTCTGGAAGAAATGGTAACAAGGCTGGGAGAGGCTCTGGCAGAGACCGTGGGTGGGGTGGTGATGAGATCCCGGGGACATGCAGGAAAGGAATGGGAAGTTTCATTTGTGGTTTTCTTTGGCTCGTTGGGTTTTGGTTTGGGCTTTTATTGGTGTCCTGTCATGTCCAACACCTCTGCAGAGCCCGAGGAGCCGCAGCCTCTGACGTTCCTGAGGCAGCCGTCGTCCCTGTCCAGGCTGAGCGGGCAGAGCGCCCTGTTCCCCTGCGTGGCCACAGGATTCCCAACTCCCTCCATCAGGTGGACAAGAAACGAGGAAGAGCTGCTCACAGAAGGGTGAGTGGTGGCTGACATCCTTATCTCACAGCAGGAATGGGGTTTTGAATTAGTGCCCAACTTCCTTTGTACCGAGTTTTAAACCAGAGGGGAAGAAGCTGGTTCCCAAATGCTGGAGGGCTCCGATGGCACTGCTGGGACAAGGGAGGTAGTTCAGGAGATTTGTGGAACAGTCTCACAGTATTTTTTTGCAGCCATCTGAAACCAAGAAATCTTACTTAAAGCAGGAAGGTTATTAGGAATGTATTACTTTTAGATTACCACTGGAATAAAAGAAGCAATTAAAGGAATAAGGACTCTGCAGGAAAACAAAGACAACTTTGTGTTGGTGTATTGTGTGTGTGAAGCCCTGCACTGACTTTCCACAATGAAAGTGTCCTTTATGTGTCAAACTGTTCCACGGGAGTTTAAGAATAGGTGTTTAAAGCACAATTACATAATTTCTCATGAAAATAGAGTATTAAAATGTTAGGCATGATTAAAAAACAGTGTGGGCTTTCAGCAATGCATCCAGTGAAAACACATTGTCATTGCTGGTGTGTTCACTCCAAATAATGTGGTGGAAAATCTATATAAAAAAAGCAGAACAAATCTTATCAGGGCCATTTTTGTGCCTGTAATGAACATACTTACCAGAACCAGGAGATTACAGCCAGGCACTTGAATGTTCTCCGTGTCCCCCAAAGTCAGTGGGGAGATTAACGGAGCCCCAAGTTCATCATGGAACAAGGAGAGGTAAATTGTGGCGTGGCTGCCACAGGAAGCAGCCAGAGCAGGGCACAAGTCTCTGCAGTGGCAGTGATATATTATATCTCTGTTTTTGGCAACTCTTAAATTAAAAAGGTCCCGGGGCTCGTAATTTGAGCTGTCGTGGCTGGGGGGAGCAGGCGGCCCTGGGGTGCCCTGAGAGCTGCTGCCGTGTCAGGCTGATGGCACAGGATTTAGAGCCTTTTTTGTCATAAATGTAAGAAATCACTCGCCTTTGGAGGCTGGTGCAGGCTCCTCAGAGCTGCACAGTCCAGTGGGATGAAATTTCAGGATAAATGTGCCTGGTAAGATCTTAATTTGGTTTTGTTATATGTAAAGTGGTGCCGTGTCACAGCTTTATGAATTTTTGCTGCCCCCTACCCCCATCCTTCTCTAGGTTATGGCATGTCCAGTGCACAGGGAGGCTGCAGCTCACCTACCAGAGAGCTCTCCTTTTGTTTTCTTCTGGGTTTTGGACATACAAAGCCCAGATTTTCCAACCCTCGCCTGCTGGCACTCCCTTAGGAACTCTTCTGTGAGGTTGCCGTGATAACTCCTAAAGGGCTGCACAGGGAGTTTTAATGCTCAAAATTCAGAGTGAGAAATTGTTTTGAAGGGCTGAGGCATAACATGAGTAAATATATACTTGATCTTTATATGCACACAGTTTGAACCAGGTCTGACCTGATTTTCCAGAGTATTAAGTGCTAGTTTTTAGTATTATGGCCCTTTGTTACAAGAACAGGTTCCAGTTGACTTTTTAATTCTTTTTTCCTTCTTGCAACACTAAGCTTTTTTTTTTTAATCACTGAAATGTGTGCTCACTGTAGACTTTACTTTTAAGGTGGGTAAGGGAGGGAATTTGATCTTTTTCCCCTTTGTAGGAATAAGATTCCTTCATTGTTCCCTAAAGTGTGCCAAAGCTCCTAAGTCTGATACTCGTGACTGTGGCTTAACAGGAAGAGATTCATCCAGCAGAAAACAAAGAGTTCTTAAACTCCATTTGCCCCAACAGCCATTGTATTATTTGTTTGAATAGAATAACTGGAAAATCTCCAGAAATTAAGATTCTTTGTGTGAGTAAAGCCTGCAGTTACTGCTGCTAAATAGCTACCTTAGCTTGTTATGCATGGTCTGTTAATGTAATTACAAATTAAATCACATTTAATTTGTGCTGAAATCCCCTTTTGTTATAAAAGTATGACTTTTCTTAGCATGGCTTTTCTGTAGCTGAAATAAAAACCGATCCTTTTTCATCTGGGCAGGTTTTCATGTACCTTCTGTCTGGGAAAAGCTCTGAAATGATGGATTTTGTTTAGACACACACACACAGACCAGACATTAACATACATATGTGTAGGTATATATGTATATATTTGCACATATCTCTGTGTAGGAAACAAAACTGGGATGTTTTGGGCAGGTATGTCCCTAATTTTGACCCCTTGTGAAATGATTTAACAGACAACCTTATTTTGACTTTTGCCCTAACTGTGGTAATTAATCTAATGCAAAATTAAATGTTTACCTTTCAGGCTGCATTGCTAAGGAGAATGTGGGTTGGAGCTTGCATTTCTGGGAAAAACAGCTTATTTTTAACGGTTGGGAGTGGTGGGGCTTTGGAATTAACTACATGTTATAGGACCTGAAAAGAAGGGAAGGTGATTAAATGTGATGGATTATTTGTTGAAGACTGCAATAAGATTTATGTTAATGGATAAATGTGAGTAAACTTGAATGATGACAGTCTTGGCAGTTGTTCAGACAGCCAGCCTGTAATGCAATATATTGTGAAATTAGTTTGCTGTGATAAAATATTTCCCAAATTAATTAGAGTGAAAGAGAAGGAAGTTCTGGGTGAGAAACTGAAGTGAACACAGTGCTCAGAGTTTCCACCGTAGTAAAGCTCTTAGAACTTCAAGGAATCCTTTCAGAACTTGCTGACTTGAATATTTTAAAGGAATATAATTGTTAGACCGCTGACTTTTTGGCTCTTCATAAAGAAGTCCATCAAAGACTGTGAATGACCCGAGTTCCACCTGGGACCTGGGGAAGTTCTGATTCCTCAGAGCTGGAGAGCAAAGGAGTGTTTGGAGGAAGGGTCTCAGTGCTCCCACCATCCCTGTGCCCTGCTCGAGGTGTTGCTGTTTTGGGCTGCTCCTCTGAGACCTTCCTTGCTGTGTGCACAATTCCAGAGAGAAAACAGCACAGGGTGGAAAACTGGACCCAGTAACAGGCACTGGGAAAAGTGTTGGACTTGTGCTGACAGCCTTCCGTGGAACTGGCTCGCCAGTCCAGCTGGTAACCTTGGTCTGTTAGAATTTTCTCAAAATTCCATTGTTTGTAAGGAAAGGAAAAGGCCAAACCCTGTTCCAGGTTGAGATCTGGGCTCAAAATTTGAGCTTCAGGATCCAAAGGAAGCCCCTGGACTCGTGTCTAATCCCTGGCAGAGGGTGCTGGGCTTGTGGGTCTGTAATGCTGGTACATGAGTGGAGCCCTCCCTGCTATCCAAGTGGCTCAGCAGTGGGAATATCCATCCTGCTTTTCCAGCTGGATTTCCTCCATAAACTCAGAATTGAGCAATATCTCTGCCAGGGATGTAGAGAATGTGGAGTGAGGTGGAAGGAAGGGATAGGGACATCTCTGTTTCTTGCCAAAATAAGAATTCATGTAAATATTGGAATGAATCTGAGGCCTTTTACATAGAACTTCCTGAAGTGAGATCTGCTGTAGTGTCAGTATTATCTGACACACCAGACTGGGATGGAAATGGTCTGTACAGCTCAGAGTTTGTCACATTTGAGCCAACTTTGAACCTTCCTTAAAAATTTTAGAAAAACCCTCTCATAAAATTTAAAAATTTTACTTAAATATCTGCTCTGGGCAAGGATCCTGCTGTGGGAGGGTCTGTTCTTCAGCAGATGTGGAGTCACTTTGTACTTTTGACAATCCTGAACTTGAGAAGTGAAGATTCAGGTGGCGGCCAGGATGGGTTTTCAGAGCTTGGGACACAGGCACAGAGTCTGCAATGTTTGGAAGAGGATCTGCTTTGAAACCTTTCCCGTGTGTGGGTCAGGATGTGCTCCCACAGCTATGTGGTGTATCCTGATTTATGTTGGGACACTTCTGGGGGGAGGAAAGTACAAATGCAGGTGCCACAAGTTCTTCAGAAAGCTGCAGCAGGTGAGATGGTCCCCCTGAAATCAAACCATTGGAAGGGCTTGAGCTGTAAGATTTTAACAAGGATGGTGAAGGGCAGCAAACTCTGCAGCGGGCTGGGGGCTGTTCCATTCAGCAAAATATCATGTCATTGACAAAATCCTGCAGAAAACCCTAAGGGGGTTGTGCAGGTGATAATTCCCTCCAGCAAGGAGGTGGCACAGCTGAGGTCTCATGTGCCACGTTCATTTTATGCTACTGCTGCCTCTCCTTGTGTGATCACATCCATATTCCAAGTTGTTTTTTTTTCCTCAGTGCTTCCCAGGAATGTGTGATATTTTAATTATTACTCAATTACTGTTTGCAGGGCTCTTGCAGTGATTGGGACAAAGAGAATTACACTTGCCCAGCTCAGGAAAGGTTAAACATAGCAGAGTAATTATGGAGATTTTTCTGGTAGTAGATTCCACAAAATAATCTAATTTACTGTCTAATTTTATCTGCTGTACTTTACCGAGACAGCAAATAGATTATAAGATGTTTGGGGAATAGTAATTCAAAAGAGGGGGAGAAGAGCCCAAACCTGAGGGTATAACTGGCAGTTTGACTACAGTAAATTAATAAAGGCTCACTGTATTTTGTGATAATGAAACACAAAAAGCCTGTGAGTGAGGCATCCAGAGCAGGCAGTAATTGTGTATTAGAGGTATGTGAGTGAGGGATGTATGGAATGCATATGAAAGGCTGGAATTTGATTTTCCTCTTCCCTGACATCTGAACGATCAATCTTTGTTGCTTTTAATGACACTTCCAAATTATGTTATCACTTTTATATTAAGCTGATTCTTTGTCTCCAGTGCCTGAAATCTGATTTCTTCACTCTTTTGTGGAAATGCTTCGCTGTCCTTACAAAATTAAGATATTTTTACTTTATTACAAAGGCAGTTTTCATTTAAGCCCCGAATTTTTCCCCAGCTAATGCGTACAGAGGGAATCACCAAGGAGTTTGTTTCCTTCCCCTGCGTTTGTAATGGATCATGTATTGGTAGACCGGGCTCAGCTCTAGGATTTCTTGAGGGAAATAATCCACGAGAATAAAACCATGGCACACACAGTGGTGGCTGAGCACTGTGTAACCCTGGTCCTTGCCAAAAGGAGAATTCATGTCAACACCACCCTGTTACAAGTGGTGTGTGAGATCCCCTCTGACAAACTTTTGCTGCCCAAGTGGCAACACCGCTAATTTTTACCAGTTATAGCAACACCTTAACTGCTGGTTCATAAGCACAGCAGTCTGGTGCTTACCCTGGAGATGTTACTTTTCCAGAGAGTGGCAGTGGGAGAAGGAGCAGCCTAAGGCAGGTGTAGCTTTGGGATGGGTGACATTGTGGATATCCTGGAAAAGGCACTGATATCCTCAGAATGCCGTTATCCTTAAGGTTATTCCAATAGCCTTTTACCATTCCTTTGGGATTTGACAGGCTCAGCTCCCTCCTTGTCTGTGTCCTGGCTGTCCTGGCACATCCAGCACATGTCCCTGTTGGCTTCAGGTCTCCCAGTTTTCATCCCAGCCCTCAGCACCTTCTTTGCTACTCAGATTAATTTGCAAAAAACGCAAGAACAAACAACCAAAGCAGGTGTTTTCCATGACAAAAGATGGTAGAAAACTTCCTGTGTGGATGTGTCAAGGCCCAGGCTTGTCTCACCCTTGTATTTTTCTTTAGGCCTGGTTTTAGTGCAGCCTCACTGTGTTCCCACACAGAAGCCTCAGGGACATTCCCAGCAGCTGGGAAGCTCTTTGTATGTTTTTTTAAACTCATATCTTCACTCAAAATCCCTGCACTTTTTCCAAACCAACCCTTTTGTGATTCTCCTGTTACTCATGGGAACAGGGTGGCTTCCCTTATGGAATACCTGGATAGGGACATCTCGGGATGCTTTTAGGACTGGTTCCTGTCACTTAATTCCAGTAATGGTTTTGTTTGCCCTGCTTTTAAATGCATTGAATCAGGCATTTGATCAGCAATCGTGGAAGTATCATAAATCAGTATTTATGTGGCAATCAGATGTGAGATGAGCCAAAAGTCTCTGTGTCCCAATGATTTCCTTTTCCAAGCAGGTCCTACCAACATAATCCTAGGAATTTCAACCAGGTTGGTTTTTGTACATTGGCCACTCTCTGTAGGGACCAAAATTAATTGTTGTAATGTATTTTTAGTTCCTATTTTGGCAGAATTCATTCCCTTCCTGCCCACAAGCTGTGGCTCAGGGATGCCAGGCAGGAGGCCCCAGGTACACTCTTCCAACTGGAATTAAGAAACGTTCTGGGTCAGCATCCAGGCACGATTTGTGTCTTGGCTTGGGGTCTTTTGGCATTTTGCTCTTAGCATTTTACTGTGGAAACTTGGAGTGTTGAAGGATCTTGGAAGGCCTGTACAAATCTGTGGTATCACATAAAGGGCAGTGATGGTTGGATGTGGCTGGAGGCTGAGGGTGCTGCATGGAGATCAAATGCCACTTATCTCCTACATTTAGCATCAAAAGCAGATGCTTATAAGGACTGAATTAGAAACTCTACCCCCCCCCTTTTCACAAGTCAGAGGGGGAAGTTCTGTACAGATACTTTGTCACCTGCTGAATTTGTATTTTGAATTTTTTTTTTAAACTGCATCTTTTTTTGCAATATTTCATCTTACAGAAATGGCTTTTCTTGTCGCAAAAATTCAATTACAATACATTGTATAATGTGCATTACTGCTCCTCGTGCTGTAAAGTCTGTCATGTTACATTCTCTCAGCTTTCAGCAATAAGTCATTCCAGCTGCATCTGCAAAATGCATTTTTTTTTAATGATGTGGTGACGATACTTCATTTTTCTCCAGTCCTGGTCGCTCTTGACTAAATACCTCGGCTCACATTTAATTAAGAACAACTGAAGCCGCAAGTGCAAAAAAGATGAGCTGCTCTTGTGGAATTGATGGGGTTGAACTTCACTGGAAATGTGAAGCCGAGGTTGGAATTTGATCGTGTAATTAAAAATTCTCTCTGTGAGGTGGTTTTGTGTACCTGGCACCCAGAAGGACAAGGTGGAGGTGGTGTCTGTGGAGTCACGTGTGTGTCTGTGTCCCAGGTCCGGGCGGTTCCAGCTGCTGGCCGGGGGCTCGCTGGAGATCCGGGACGTGGGCGAGGGGGACGCCGGGACCTTCACCTGCATCGCCGAGAGCGGCAACGACACCGCGGCGGCCCAGGCAGAGCTCACGGTCCAAGGTAGGCAGAGACTTCACTGCCAGGGACAGCATTTCTCTGGGACACCTGCCACAGGAGCTGTGTCCTGGGCTCAGTTACAGACCCTCTTTCACCTGGGTAAAACCCCTGGCAGGGTTTGGTGCCCCATTAAAAAATACCCAAACTGAACCGATGACGACGAACCGCCCCCCAGTCCTGTTCTGAATGTTGTTGTGTTACTCTGGTTTGTTGTTCAGACCGCTTACAATGCCATAAATAGTCAAATATTATATAACACAACTTGAGCTTGCCTCAAAGCTGCTCCACATGCTTATATAATGCCATTTACTTAAAGGAGGACAAGGGCCCCAGTGTGGCTGATCACATCTGGAAGCTGACCTGTGGCACCACAACGTGGGTTGTCTTTGGAAAGGACACATATAATGGATTTTTGGTAATCCTTAAATACGCTGTTGTTTTCAAGGAGCTTGACAGAAGATAAAAGCTGAGATATTTAGTAATGTGCTGGTTTATCGTGTGTATAAGTGTTCTACTTACTTTTGCAGGCTGTTCTTACTAGAAACAGCACTGAAATATTGATAATGCTGTTTGTAAAACATCTTACTTTAAAAGCAGATTTGGTAAGCAAAGAAAGTAGGAATGGGGAAAAATAAAGGTAGAAGTTTGGCTTCTTAGCCTTTCTTCCATTCTATGAGGAAATGGTTTTTTATTAACTGGATTTTAATAAGGGTTTAAAATTCTTCAGATGGAGTTTCATGGTGTGTACAAGGGGTTCATGTGTGCAGAGTCCTTGCAAGAGCTTAACTGACTCGTTTTACCAGGATTGTGGTGCTACAGAGTCAGTCTGATGGGATAAACTGAATCATTGAACAACCCTGAATAAAGGCTTACATATAGACAAAACCTCTGGGACCAAAAAGAACTACTCGGACTGAAAGCATTTTGAAGGCCAACAAATTCTGGTCATGCAGAAAAAAACCCGCATTTTCTTACCTTGTGCCTTGGCCAAAAGAATAAAGATGTGGTGCTCTTAGAAGTACTCACACGCTTGAGGTTTAAGAGCACTTGCTGATGGTTTCACACAGTTCACCACGTGCTGTGTTTAATTCAGTTCCAGCCTCTGTACTTCACAGAATTGGCTTTGTGTTTTATGGGCAGTGGCAGCAATTAATAACAGTAATGATGTGATGCAATTAAACAAGAGATGGATAAGAGTGAGATTATAGCCTTAGTGTAGGACATCCAGACAGGTCACTGGGGGATGAAGGTGAGCTGGAGAGAGCTCTTTTCCTCCTTATCTGAGCTAATGTAAAGGATTTCCTCAGTTGGTCGTAAAGATTGAGAATATGTTCTGCCAGTTCTTCTGTGCTGAGTTTTTGTTACATACCTGGCACTAGAAAGAAAATCCTTTAATGCTTGAGTGTTATAATATATTAAAGATTCGACAGAATGCATTTCAGATAGTGGCATTTCTGATTTTACTTCTTGGTTCTAATCTTAATTCACCTTTCCTTTTGAGAGGTCACTGTGGGGAGTAATTGTATTTCTGCATTACTGTACTTTGGTGAAGGGTTGAATGGCTTGAGTAACTGTTATCTGATCACTGTATCATTTCCTTCTGGACTAGAGAAATTGTCATCTCTTATACCTAATAACAGCATGATTCTGCTTAATTTAAGCTCCTTCTGCCATTCTTGGAAATTAGTCTGGCAGAATTTCAGGCAAGAAATCCATTTTTTGAGTACTAATTCCCTTGTCTCTCCTATTTTTCTGCCTCTCTCATTGAAGCCCCTGGGTTTTCTGTTGGGAGATTTCAGCAACACATTTGGGGTTGTGCCAAGGCAGCCAATCTATTCTCCCTTCTGTTAACATTTCAGTGGGACTCTGTGCTGAGGGCTGGGGAAGGTGCCATTGCCTGGCACTGTTAGGGCAGGGAAAGTGAAAAGAAGGTCCTGTGGTGCCTCCTCACTGAGATTTCCCAGCAGTGCCAGAGCCAGATCAGCTGAATTTTCCAGACTGAAACAACTTGCTTTATCCAGCTGTAAGGTTAAATTGTGCCCAGACTAAAAAAGAATGCTCATTAAAGGTTATTGTGCTGCAAGAGCAGCTTTTCTCTGTCCTTTAGCAAGGATGTAAAACCCGGAAAGGTAACACGTGTCTCTGGTGTGGTCCCAACGAGCTGCCTTGGCCTGGTTGCTGGAATACTCATTCTTCCGTGGCAGTGAGGATGGAATTCCTGACCATCCCTCAAGGGTGGGGTACCCTCAGGGGTCTCACATGAGGCCTCAGCTGGCAGGCAGTTCCTGTGTTTTACTGTGGGTCTGTGGGAGATGGCTGGAGAAAGCTTATTCCAGCGGCATGCAGGTGTGTCAGGTCATCACCCTGAGAGTTCATGGGGTTTTTCTGTTAAATTTGGCACCAGTTTCAATCTGGATAAATGGTACCTTGAACTGCAGCAGTTAGATCCTGTTGGTGTCACTTAAAGATGCCATGTATTTCACACTGTCATCTCTTGAACCCCTGGGTCATAAATGAAAGGGTGAGAGGAGCCCTCTGTTGCCCTAATGTTGGGTTTTAGAAATGATTTAATTTCCCTGCACACAGCAATAGAAGAACTGAATCAGAAAAATGACTTTAACTAGGAAGGAGTGCTGGACTAGAAAAGTACTAAAGGCTCCAGGAGAGGACAATACAAATCCGTGTCCTCAGTGTCTTTATCTGCCCTGTGGAGCTGGGAGGTGGAGTTAGGAGAATTCCCTTCAGTTTGGAAGGAAGTTTTGGCTGCCCCATCCCTGGAATTGTCCAAGGCCCGGTTTGAGCAACCTGGTCTAGTGAAAGATGTCCCTGCCCATGGCAGGAGATGGAAGGGGATGAGCTTTAAGGTCCCTTCCAAGCCAAACCTTTGTGGGATTCAGTGACTGGAGATTTCATGGACCTGTTGGTTGCACACCCAGTCTTTGACTGTGCATTTGAAGAGTAGTTTGATATGGAAGAGAACATGGGACATTGTGGGGGAAGACCTGGAGCTGAGAGAGTCTCACCCTAAAGCTGAACATTGCTGGATCCCACATTTGAGACAGTCTGTAGGGCCAAATCTCAAATGGGTAAACTGTGTGTGCACCTTTGTACCTGCTCACTTTTCCTTGGGCGCCATCCCAGTCCCAGGCCAGGACTGTTCCCGTGGTGGAGGCAGGAATTTGGTGTCTGCAAAGTGCAATCTCTCCTGGCTGTTGACAGAGCTCTTCCCGTGCTGGGGACCGGGTTTGTTTACAACATGTGTCATGAGTTGAGAGCACCGGGGAAAATGTGTTTGCCATCCCCGGCCATGAAAGAATCTGTAGCATTTCCCTCAGATAAGAGTGGACGGTGATGGCAGAGGAGCTGGGAAACCAGGTCATGGCTGTGTTTCATCTGCCCAGCCCGAAAACGCGGCGGGGCCGCCCCGGAGGGGCAGGTAAATGTGGGAAGGTTGTAAGTTCACGTTTCATCTGGGAAATAGTTCAAATTGATGGCCGTGCCCGGTGCCCTGGGGACTGCTGGAGTCAGGTCACAGCATGGGCTTCCTGCCCCTGCCTTGGTGCTGGGGGGGGATCACGAGCTTTCTGTTGAAATATTTACTGCAGTTAATGATGAACCAGAAAATAATACAAACCAAAAACATTTCCATTTTCATTCCCCTTATTCAGTTGATGTGGCAGGTCTGAAGTCTCGAAAATAAATGAATCCCTGTGTTTGTGGGGGAAGAGGCAGAGCTGCTCTTTATTCCCTTTGAATGAGTTTTTGGAGTAGCAGAACGTTGGCTTTTGCTGTCTAGGACAGCATTCAGTGTCTGATAGTGTATCCTAAATGCTGTGCATTAAATGACTCACTGTGTTAATGTAACTAAAATTAAAAAGAGAAAGAGGAAACCTTAATTCTGGGTATCTATAGTGGTAAATCAGAGGTTGCACGTGGCAATAGGCTGATCACTGCCTTGTCTGTGCTGCCAGAGCAAATTGTATGGGGAAAAGCAAATGCAGAAGAAGATAGAATTATCAGTTTTTTTGTTTTGAAAGGAAATAATGGAAATCTTTTCAGTAAAGCTGAAAAGGCTTATTCTAATGGCAAAGCCTTGTTCTAGCAAAAAATACCTGAAGTGTTGGTCATAAAATGAAACCAAGAGTTGCAGAAGGAAGAGCCTCAACGTGGAGAATCTTGGATTTGTTTTCCAGTGTTCTCTGTGGCAGCAACTTGGGAAAAGCTGGTGCCATCCTGCTCCAGAAATTGTGGCATTAAATCCTGCAGCAGCAGAGCAATCTGTCTGGGTAACTCTTATTTTTGCATTAAGCTTTTGTTATTATTGGAAACAATTCCAGGGGAGAAATTTGAACCATCACTGAAAATTGCCCAAACCTTTCTCATACCTTCTCGATGAGCTTCATCGATTTCTGGCTCTAATTAAGCTCAGTGCTGTATCTTGATAAGAGGCTGCAGCCCAATTAGGGATTCAGGAGATGCTGCTCTAAACCTGAGGCTGCCAAAGGCTCCTACTGGGGACAGAGTATTGTCCTTGCTGGGTATCCCACAACTGCTCTGCTGCTGGAAGTGAAAAGAACACCTTGGCTTTATGTGAGTTATTTCTTACCCTTGAAAAGGTAACGGGACTTCTGTTAATGAACTTTTTCTGTAGTGATACAAACCAAAGGCAGTCAGTCCAGGAGTCTGGTGTGGGGAAGCTGAACTCACTGTCATTTTGGTCACTATCTTTGCACTTTAGTGTGTTGTCCGGAAGGACTTTCAAACAGCCCTTGCTGCTGCTCCGAAGTGTCATTTAATGTTTATGGGGTTGTGTAGTTTGCTTGTGAAGTCAGTTAAATGTGAATATAGATACTTTCTGAGGAATTTCTGCCTCTGTCCCATTTGTATTCAAGGATAATGTTGCCAGTGAAAACATCATAAACACCTGTTCAGGTACACACATGGGGTAGGAGGGGGATGGCAGGCTTATTTTAGAGCTACATCATTTGTTCAGGTTTACCTGG